GATTGGAATAAACATCTAGCACCAGAAGTGTGGTGGTCTGGATTTCTCCATTCCCCAACTGCTCCAGTCAGCATGCTTGGGTCTAAATCATAGTTCCATCATCTACCAGCTATGTGACCTTGACAAGTGTCCTCTGAAAAGCGAGCACCAATCCCAGAGAATTGCTGGGAAGATTAAATGAGAAAAACATAGGGAAGTACACAGAGAACAAGGTCTATGTGTTAGCAACAGAGTAAGCATGCAGTACAGTAAAGGGAGAGCTCTTAATAGGATGCGGAGGATGTTTAAAAACTCTACAATTCAGACACACACAAAATAGTTCTTTGTAATGACAACATACTAAAGAGCCAATGGAGGCTGAATCTAATTATCTCTTCTGCTTCAAGGTGGTAGAAAATTCCTAAGTGTTCCAGCGTCTTAATGTATAGCATAAATCCCAAGAGACATGCATTTCCTAAGAGAAAATGAGGATAAATTTTTAACTAACTCATCCTTAGAAACATTCCAGAGGAGCAAAATAAAAAGCATGCATATTATGAAGTTTACATTAGTGATCTCCATTATAAATTCTTATAGGCACATTTGAGTATAAATTATGAATTCAGAATAGGTAATTTGGTTACAGCAGCCAAGATGCTAAAGTGGAATGCCTTCCGCGTGGCACGTGGCCCATTTCACAAAGAGGACAGTCCTCCTGAAAGTGGCTGAAACTGCACTGTCATGATCTCTGACTCATCTCCTTCCCAGCTCCATCTGTTCCGTCTCTCCCACGCAGGGGCCTGTTTCTCCCTCAGATTGCCCCTGGGAATGCCTGGTGTTCTTCATATAAAGTCGTTCAAGTAATCCTGAGTCAGCACAGCGGAATTATTTCCACTCCAAGCCACCGTCAGAGTTGCCTTCACGGCCATGTGTGGTAACACTGATTTTCTCCAAATGTGCACGTTAGAAAAGGCTCAGGCTTCGGGCACATGTTAAATAGGGTGGCTCTAGCAGGCACTGCTGACGACACCTACCCAGAAGAGGACACAAGGCCTCAGCTCAAGTCCTCACAAAAATAAGGACATGTCAGCACGGGCCATAGGTTCCAGAAGGCTGAGCAGGAATCATGTGAGACAAGGAGCCAACAGCCTCCTCACCACCAAGTCCGGGATGACCCCCTAGGAGATGCAGGAAGATGGGGGACGTGAGCTTTACCTGCCCCAAAGAACACTCCCCAGGATCTTTCTATCGTCCCAAGCAACAGAATAACCTCCACTGTTATTTCCTGCCCTCTACCGTCCCCCTTCCCAATTGCTCCTGAGGAAGAGAGGGTGAAGGCCGTCCTCAGATTCCCCATCAGCAGTGACCACCAGACACCCGCAGAGAATGTCATGGGTTAGGCCCAAGTTCAAGTCCTAATCACCTCACACCTACACTCTGCAGTAGTTGCTTCGCAGGCCCCTGTCCTGCTCCCCTCTGACTCACTCTGCTCACGTTTAATCCTCCTAAAACCTTGCTTTGATCATGCTACTCACTTCTTCCAGTGTCTCCATGAAGCACAGAAAATGAGTTTAAATGCAATGGTTGTATGGAATGTATCCTGGCCCCAATCTCTTTTTCCAGCCCTACCTGGTACTTCTCTTCCGTAAATCCTCACCTCCAGCCAAATGGTTCTCAGTACCTTTGCTTACTCCACTTCCCAGACGTAACATCTGCTGCCTATCCAATTCCTACCCAGATTTTGAAGCCCAACTCAATGCAATCTCTTCCCAGAGTAGTTATTCCCTGATCATCCTATGGAGTGAGGGGGTGTAAAAAAAATCACCTCTCCATTCTCGGAGTTCCTACAGTGCATAAGTATATGTCATGGATAATATCATTCATTCATTTACTCAATAAATGCATCCAGATGAGATACCCTAAATCACATGATATGGCCCCCAAAGAAGAGGTCTAGGGGAGGAACGGATAGGAAGGAATTACCATTTATTGAGAGTTTATTCTAAGCAGGTCACTCTGCCATCTATTTCCACGTCAGCTCAGTTCATCCTCACAACTTAAGGAGGCAGCTATTGTTATCGCTTTACAATAAGAACTGAGTCTCAAAGAGTTGAACAATTTGGCAAAGATTACCACATATGATTTTTATCCTCCACTGCCCCTTTCCCATCTCAGAGTCTCTGCCCATCTCTGCCTCACTCTGTCCTTAGGATGCTCACCTCTATACTGTGTGTTACCCAAACCCCTCTGCCCTCTGTCTGGCCTCCAATCAGGTTGGGTGACTGAAAAGCACCAGCTGTAGACTGACTGCGCCTGCTCCCTTCCTGCCTCATCAGGTTCTGGCTGTGGCTGTACTTCTCAGCCACAGCTCCTGGGGAAGGGTTCTTCCACGGCCCAGTTCTTCTTACCAGGATCTAGTTAAGACCATGGTCTTTGGGTCAGGAGTGGTAGGCAGTGTCTACATGAAGGTTGGTGAAGCAGCCTAGCCCTGCCCACACTTCTGTAAACTTTCATTAAACTCTCTTCAATTAAACTTTCTTACTGTGCCAATTATTTCCTGCCACATGCACAGAGCAGGATGTGAACCCATATCTGTCTTACTACACAGCCTGCCCTTTTCACTTGAATAACTTCTAGGTTGGAGATCTGTACAAAGTGCCACGGATCAAAACAAAAGGCACCTCACTCTGATAGGAAGGATCCAAAAAGACTTTTCTGAATAGTCGCATGAGCATAAGCCAGTCTTAAGAGGTGAATTGAAATTCACCAGGAAAACAAAGAGTGAGGCGTGGCATTCAAGGACAATGTAGACAACAAGTTCAGAGTCCAGAGGCATCAGGACTGCACTGCACTACCTAAGGCAGTTATGTACAGTGCTCATGAGAGAATAATGGTAGCTGAGGGTTCTCAAACTGTGATGGTAAACACTTGTCCATCCTGATCCACATGGAAAGGTTATAAGAAGCAAAGAATTAGCTAGATTCTGAGCAACAGAAGCAGTGTGCCTATTCCCTACCTTCAGTGGATCCCCATCACAGACAATAAGCCCAACTATTTAGCATCATGTACACACCCTTACTGGCCTGGCCCTGCCTGACCCATCCAGTCTCATCTGCCAGCACCCCCTGAGCTGGTCCCTGAGTATGCCATTCTTTTCATGCCTCTGTGCTTTTGTCCATGTTCTTTCATCAGAGATTCCCACCTCCACTTTCCACCTGGTAAACTTCTTGTCTCTAGGGCTCATCTCGGGCGTCTGCTTCTTGGTAAATATTTCTGGCCCTCTAAGATGCTCCCATAGTGCCTTGTGCATAACTCTACAACAGCACTTTCATAACACAGACATGCATTGTGTTTACTTGTTACATGTCTGTCCATTCACTCAGCTGTGAGTTCCTAGACCAGATTGTAGATATAAATGCTTGGGCTCTGGAGGCAGGCTGCCTAGATCCAACCCCTGGACTTCGCTCCCTAAGAACTAAGTAAACAAGTTATTTACCTTCTCTGGGCCTCAGGTTCATCATCCACGGCTCTGGAGGCAGGCTGCCTAGATCCAACCCCTAGACTTTGCTCCCTAAGAACTAAGCTAACTTAGACAAGTTATTTACTTTCTCTGTGCCTCAGTTTCATCATCCATAAAATGGGAATAATAGCCTCATAGGGTTATTAAGTGAGTCACACAGAATAATTCTTATTACAAAGTAAGGCCTCAATAACTATTAGTTATTAATACAGGTACTTCCCTTATTTCCTGTGTAAAAAAGTTTGTGAAACGAATACATTTTCCTATTTCATATTGCTCCACATAGGTACCAAATACTACTAAGCCTTTGTTGTATTAAATTATGAAAAGAACACTCATCGCCAAATGCAGGAGTGGGCAAAAGTAGGTTTACAATTGTTTGTATGAAAAATCATACAATAATTGATAAATAATAATACAAGAATAAACTGTGTCTCACACACTCACACTGTAATTTTGCCACCCCTGTGTTACTCAATTTACAACTGGTTAAAGTTAAACAGGACTTTTTCTTGCCATTGCCCTTGGCCGGTCACTGAGTCAGACATTCTCCTGGCTTTCTAGCATCGTCCCCATGTGCCTGCCACACATTTACCCCACACAAGGGCTGTTCTGCTTGAATGGCTTACAAAGACGTATTATGAAGTCAAATCTTGGCTCCCCTCGGTTGGCATGAGGAACGACAGAAACAGGCTCCCTATAGTACAGGAGCGAATGCTAAAGCAATTCAAAATTATTGCAGTTATGAAATAGTTTTTTAAAAGCTTGAAAGGGGCCTTTTCTAAGCCAAAATCCCTAACTGTCACAGTGTTGGTAAAAAGTCCACATCTAAAAACCTCAACTAAGAAAAAGAATCCACACGCACACAGAGCAATGTGCTTGCAGGTGAGCAAGAGGTGGAGACCAGCGTCCAGCTGAATGCCAGGTGAGGCAGCACTGTGGCTAGAGACACTGGGTATCTGGATGAAAAAAGGGCAACCCAAAGGCCACACCTGAGCAGCCCAGCACCTTACAGAGTCTTCTGGCAGCTGCCGAGGGCAGCACAGGCCTTACTGGCCCAAAACCCTCCTGGAGGGGTTCAGCTACCACCCCGAACACCAGGTCCACCTCCCCCCGCCCCTGCTTCACCCATCCTGACACTGGTTTTGGAATCACACACACACACCCTCGCACCAGCTCTGATCTCTCCTTACTGTACCTCAGCTGGCTGGCCCGTCCTCAGTCTAGACTGGCTCCAATGGGGCTCAGGCCTCACCCGTTTTTAATCGATGTCCGCCAGTGACTCTGGCCCCTGTGACAGCTCTGTGCCCCAACGCCTCTGTGAAACCTGTGCAACCACATTCCTTGCTGGGACACAGGTGAGTACACCGCCATTTGGCATAACAAGAGGAAAACCTAGTCATTTAACGTTAATCTGACGATTTGTTTTTTAAACTAAGAGGCTGACCACACCATGTGACAGTGTAGTTAACATTCTTATAAAAGACGGTTCTCCACTTACAGGCCTTCTGGTCGCAGCGCCTTGGACGGAGTGGTAGAATTCCGGCTGGACGCGGCTGTTTTTCTTGATTCTCCGCTTCCTCGCTGAGCTGTCTTGCTCACTCGGATGATGAGCTTCCACCACAGTCTTGGCTTCCTCCAGACGGGCGGCCGCGGCCGCTGCAGCTCGCCTTCGAATATGCCGGGGGCTTGCTCTGAATCCCTGCGGCAGAAAACACAACCGAACAAATCCTGGTTTGTACTGAGTTCGCTGGGAGATTCTATGGGGCTCCTTATAGAAAGAGCGCCCGAAGCCACCAGGCTCAGTGAGATCACTTACATTCCCAAGGTGGGCACATGGAAGGAGGCTCAACATGCCAGCGAGATGCCTCCACCAGTGTTCTCCAAGGCACCTCCGTGGTTCAGGGCCCAGAGTTACTCCACTTTAAGAAGTGTTTCAATCCCATAAACCCGGTCCCCCCAACAAAAAAGTGCAGGTGAGCCATTGCTTTACTTATGCATATAGAAATCAGACTACAGGAGAAGAGGGGCGTCTCCATTTAGACAGGAAGCAGGGCACGGGGAGTGGGAATGACTGACTATTACTCCAGGGTAAATACTGGAGAGCGGACTCACTAACGGAGGCAGCAGAAATGCAAAGCATCGTTATAAAATACCATACAGTGGAGCTCTAAAACTAAAGGGAGGCAAAAGGGAGGAGTAAAGTGTATGGGGTTTGGGGTCAGATGAGCCTAGGTCCAAATCCTGATCGGTTAATTATAGCTACACACTCATTAAACATTTATGAGTCTTACTTTTCTAATCTAAGAAATGGATAGCAGTCTACTCACAGGGTTAAGTTTTAGATATGGTAATATACGTAAAATTCTAAGCACTGCATCTGGCAATTATGAGATGCTCGATAAATTGTAAATTTTGCTTCCCTTCTAGAGTAAAGTGAGGATACAGGCAACGTGCTAGCGATGGAAACAAGCTCAACCGAGCCCTAAAATGCATTTGGAAACGTGCAAACAATTTTGGAAAATATCCAAAAATTAGTCTCTGTCCTATGTAGCTACAATTTATTAACAAGCAGGAAAAGAAGTCTAAGGCAGAGTTCACGCACACACCGGACTGTGTGCTCAAGGGTTAAAGTGGGCAGCTGACGACTCACGGTGCTAGCAGACCTTGGCGAAGGAATCAATAACGGAAGCTGAGAATAGTCTGTATTTGGCTTAGTGGAGTGGGTGGCATTTGAAGAATGAATAGAATTTATATTCCAGGGAAACAACATAATAAGTAAGAGGATAGATGGATAGAATATTTATGTAGCAATAAGGAACATTATTTGGTGATGTGCCAGGAGCTCGTACAAGCTACACACGCAGTATGGTGGCAAAGTAGAAGGGATGAGGCGTTAATGCTCCACGGAAGGCTTCTCTGAGATTGTGGGTCTTCTGAATTTTAAAAGACATAAAACCTTAAAGATTGCAGTACAATGCAAAAAGAATGGAGCATAAGAATTTCCGGGGAGAAGCAGTATGACCAAAGGCCCTAGCATGATGCTGTGGGATACTGAGAGTCATGTGTACAAGAAATGCTCACTGAGGGCGAGGGGAGAAGGTCTGGAGTCGGATTATTGGGACCTCGAAGACCAGGGTGAAGGATAGGAAGAAGAAGACAGAAGTAGGGAGGAGATGGCCCACAGGGTCCAAGGCAGCACTGAGGTCAACAGAAATAAATGAGGAGGAAATGCAAATGGATTTGGTCATAGTTTGGGCACTTTCTTCTCATCCCCAAACACATAGTCTGTTTCCATCCTTCCCTTGCGTGCAAGCTCAGCTGGATCCCCTTCAACCCCAAACAGTCTGTGCTGGTGAAGAGGAGAGAGCTGGGCCAATTGCTAAACTGTGTTCTAGAGCAGAAGTAGGACCAAATGCGTAACAACCACCACGGGCTGTTTTTAAATATGCTGGCGCCTGGATTCTTTCTCCCCCCCACCCCCCACCACCACCCTGCTCTCGCTCTCACTCTCGCTCTTTCCCCCCTCCCTTCTCCTCTCTCTCTCCTTCCTTCTGAATTAGACTCACCAGGGGTAAGGCCAAGAATCTGATTTGGGGGCAAGCTCCTCAGCCAATTTTCAGCACTTTGAAGACAGACCCTCCAGGAGCCGAAGTGTAGTCTGACCACTAGGTGGCACTAACTGTCACAGCCCTTGCACTCTTTCTAGATCAGAAATGCATGCCCTGGTAGAAATCAAGTATTTGATACTGTACTAGCTTCTGTCATAGTAGGGTGAGTTGAGTATGTCTTCAGAAAGAATGCAGATTCTCCTTCTCTTGTGCTCTTATGAATAAGAAACCAAATTTTGCTTAACTTGTATTATTACCAATAGTCCTAAGTGGCCTACAAATTTTAGAAATAGGAAAAAATATATATATAAAATTCCTTTGAACTAACAAGAACAATTAAATCATATTGGTACAGCCATTCTGGAGAGCAATAACCAGTAAACCCACATCCCTGTATCTAGAGAAATTCTTCCAAGAATGTCTAAGAAGATAACCAAGCATTACTTATAATAAAAATTAGAGTTTAAATGCCTTTCCAAAGTTTCAGTCATTTTCATTCCACATTCATTTTTTTCAAGATGGGGGCACCACCACATAGGCCTCTGTGATTTCTCTCCTATCCAAATACATTTGTACTATGTTTAAATGACTTTTTTATGAGCACTCTGGTACACTATGCAGATTTCAGCAAGACCATCTGGTTTTAAGTACTGCCTCTGTCACTTATTTGTTGTGTGGTCTTGGATAGTCACTTAACCCTTTCCTCGTCTGGAAAATGGGGTTCAAGCTAGCACATATGTCTATGATTGTTACGTATATGACTTGTGTGAATAAAAGGTATTCCTAATGACGGTCGTCTGGAAAATGGGGTTCAAGCTAGCACATATTTCATAGCAATGTTGAAAAAAATAAATGAACTAATCTAGGTGGAGTACTTGGAAGAGCACCTGGCACATCTGCTAAATAAGTGATGTCTATGATTGTTACGTATATGATTTGTGTGAATAAAAGGTAGTCCTAATGACGAAAGTGTTATTAATCAGATGTAAAAAGGAAAATCAATCACAGCAGCTGTGCCTTGCTGACAGACACATATGAGGTACCGCCAAGATACAAATCACCCCTGATCATTAGGAGAGATTTCTTTGCCCAGAGAGTCCCAGGCACTTACCCTCCAGTAAGTCAAATTATCTGGGCTTGAATACCACCTCTGTCATTACTAGGTATGTGATCTTGGCCAAGTTACTTCTCTGTGTCTGTTTTCTCCATCTGTCAAATGCATATAATAATACCTCTCTCACAGACTGTTTTCTCCATCTGTCAAATGCATATAATAATAATACCTCTCTCACAGAGCTCCGATGGTGCTTAAATGAGATAATCCACATTAGGTACTCAGAAGAGTATAGAGATTACAACAGTAGTCAATAAAGTGTCACCATTATTACTACACTTCCTGGCTGTTAAAGTAGCAATTCACGAGCCAGCAGTTCAGAGCTATGACTGCAAACACTGTAAACAGCACGAAGTCTTCAATGGGAAGTCACCTTTTTTATTTCTCTAAACCACCGCAGAGAAGTACAGGTCCTTGGTTTATTACACTTGCTTGTCCTAATTACTATAAAAAATAAGCCACAACTTTTAACAGAAGGAAATTTTCTTTTAAAACAGTAGGTGGTGCTATAACCCTTTATAGGTGTTAACTGGATTTGATGGCTGGTGTATAAAATCCATTCTCCCTTATGTGTTTGATCTTCCCTGGAAACCCTTTAACCAATAGGTGATGGACACTTGCAAGTCTCTCAGTACTGGACTTCTGCCACTTTTTAGGCTGCCCCATTTTATCAGCACCTTTTGAGTAATAACTTTCAACAAGTGCAGTCTTGATACATAGCTAAGTCAGGGTGTTCCACAGTCCACTCTAGATCTTGCCTCATGAGTAGGCACATGGCAAGGCGGAACCAAAGTCTCTCTGCTTGGATACCGAATACTACATGAGGGATAGAAAGACTGAAAAATCCGAAGGGAGTGCATTAGTTCTGGTGGCTGCACCAAAGACCTTCTAAAGCTGCCTAGTTTTGTCTTTTCTAACCAGTCAGTCTTGCTTGTGAGGTCTATCCTATATTTGTAAATAAGTCTCCTTTGGTTTAAGTCAGATTCTGTTGCCCACAAACAAAAAACCTTGGAGCATACTCTTTCTGTTATGTTTTCGGGTGGTTAGCTATTCTCTTCTGAGCTGATCACTCAGACTTAACCAGGCTGTTTGGCTGTGTAGAGTGGCATAAAAAAAGAGAGAAGATATTAATAACATACCATTCAGGTGTTATATATATATATATATATTTTCATTTCATAGACCAGCAAACTGAGGGTTATCAGGGTTAAATAATCTACCCAAAGCCAAAACTTGCAATTAGAAAAGCCCACACTAGAACCCAGGGCTATCTAACTCTAAGCCCTTACCACTCTGCTCTTATACAGAAATATTATAAGGCAGTAGTAATGCACTCAGAGTTAATCTTCTGTATGTATTCACAGGCCTGGCACCAAGGAAGTGCTCACGAATATATACTGACTGATAAAAACAAGAAAAAGTGTACAAATAAAATAAATGAGACGTAAATGGAAAAAGTTAACACTTTCAGGTAAGAATTTATGAGACCAAACAATCATCAAGTTTACTGATGAAGCATCTGAACAAATAGAAACTTAAGATGTTGAACCATTGAGCATTTATATACGATTGCTTTTGTGTTATTGTTATACCTGGAACACTAAGGTTTATAAATATATAAGATACAAATTGAGCATATGCAAATATTATGAAGCTTAATAAGCTGATGTTTATAAAGTATATAATAACCCTGTAAAAACTATGATTCTCCTCATCCAATGCTAGAAATAAACTGCAGAAGTTCTTGAATCTATGAATAAAATTCAAGGCAAATGGGGTGGGCAGTCAATGAATCTGGATGGGGGAAAATTATGTTTATTTTCACTAACCACTAATTTAGCATTATTACTCAATTATGAATGTAGGCCATAATCCTGGTATTACTAGCAGTATCCATGATTTTTGCCACCAGAAGAAATCACAAATATTTAAATACTAGAGGCCAGGTGCACGAAATTCGTGTGTGTGTGTGGCGGG